TGTTGTGTATCTGTGTGTGTATAATGTTGTGCATCTGTGTGTGTGTGTATAATGTTGTGCATCTGTGTGTGTGTATAATGTTGTACATCTGTGTGTGTGTATAATGTTGTGTATCTGTGTGTGTATAATGTTGCACATCTGTGTGTGTATAATGTTGTACATCTGTGTCTGTGTGTGTATAATGTTGTACATCTGTGTGTGTGTATAATGTTGTACATCTGTGTGTGTGTATAATGTTGTACATCTGTGTGTGTATAATGTTGTACATCTGTGTGTGTATAATGTTGTACATCTGTGTCTGTGTACCCGCGTTGTGGGGAGTGGTGGTGCAACGCTGAGTTCGATTCCATCTCACGGCCACCGGCACCAGTGACAAGTATCTGAAGCGGTATTGGGCCTCCCTTCAGATGACTCATCCTCAAATGAGTGCCTGCTGCCGTGTGTAAACATCGCCACTGTGTCTATGAGTGCCTGCTGCCGTGTGTAAACATCGCCACTCTGTCAATGAGTGCCTGCTGCCGTGTGTAAACATCGCCACTCTGTCAATGAGTTCCTGCTGCCGTGTGTAAACATCGCCACTGTGTCTATGAGTGCCTGCTGCCGTGTGTAAACATCGCCACTCTGTCTATGAGTGCCTGCTGCCGTGTGTAAACATCGCCACTCTGTCTATGAGTACCTGCTGTCGTGTGTAAACATCGCCACTCTGTCTATGAGTGCCTGCTGCCGTGTGTAAACATCGCCACTCTGTCTATGAGTATCTGCTGCCGTGTGTAAACATCGCCACTCTGTCTATGAGTATCTGCTGCCGTGTGTAAACATCGCCACTCTGTCTATGAGTATCTGCTGCCGTGTGTAAACATCGCCACTCTGTCAATGAGTGCCTGCTGCCGTGTGTAAACATCGCCACTGTGTCTATGAGTGCCTGCTGCCGTGTGTAAACATCGCCACTCTGTCTATGAGTGCCTGCTGCCGTGTGTAAACATCGCCACTGTCAATCGCCTCAGCTGCGAGCGAGTCTTCCTCCAGACTACAAGTGATATCCTCAAGTGCACCTAGCCTGGCACAGGTCATCGTCACTTCGTGGCGCTTTCTGTGTGCGTGCGTGTGTCTGTCTGTGTGTCTGTCTGTGTGTCTGTCTTCGTGTGTGTCTGTGTGTGTGTCTGTGTGTGTCTGTGTGTGTATGTGTCTGTGTGTGTATTTGCCTGTGTGTATGTGTCTATGTGTGTATGTGTCTGTGTGTGTATGTGTCTGTGTGTGTGCGTCTGTGTATGTATGTCTGTGTGTGTATGTATGTGTCTGTGTGTGTGTCTGTATGTGTGTGTGTCTGTGTGTATGTATGTGTCTGTGTGTGTCTGTGTGTGTGTCTGTATGTGTGTGTGTCTGTGTGTATGTATGTGTCTGTGTGTGTATGTGTCTGTGTGTGTATTTGGCTGTGTGTGTATGTGTCTGTGTGTGCATGTGTCTGTGTGTGTGCGTCTGTGTATGTATGTCTGTGTGTATGTATGTGTCTGTGTGTGTGTGTGTCTGTATGTGTGTGTCTGTGTGTGTATGTATGTGTCTGTGTGTGTGTCTGTATGTGTGTGTGTGTCTGTGTGTGTCTGTGTGTGTGTCTGTGTGTGTATGTGTCTGTGTGTGTCTGTGTGTGTATGTATGTGTCTGTGTGTGTCTGTGTGTGTGTCTGTATGTGTCTGTGTGTGTCTGTGTGTGTGTCTGTGTGTGTGTCTGTATGTGTGTATGTCTGTGTGTATGTATGTGTCTGTGTGTGTCTGTGTGTGTGTCTGTGTGTGTATGTATGTGTCTGTGTGTGTCTGTGTGTGTATGTATGTGTCTGTGTGTGTCTGTGTGTGTGTCTGTATGTGTCTGTGTGTGTCTGTGTGTGTGTCTGTGTGTGTGTCTGTCTGTGTGTCTGTGTGTCTGTATGTGTCTGTGTGTGTGTGTCTGTGTGTGTGTCTGTGTGTGTGTCTGTATGTGTCTGTGTGTGACTGTGTGTGTGTCTGTATGTGTGTGTGTCTGTGTGTGTGTCTGTATGTGTGTGTGTGTCTGTATGTGTGTGTGTGTCTGTGTGTGCGCTCACACTGACGTGTTTCCATGCACACTAGCACGCGTAGTTCGCTCGCGGAATTTACTCAACAGGCGATCAATCATTTAAACACAATTTAAATTTACATCGACAGGACAACGCACAACAAACACAACGCCAACCATCAGCCCTGTGCCTTCTTTATACAATCATATTCGATGCGTCAGAAATCTTTGGTTGACTTTGCCAGCGAGTGTTTGTGTGTGAGTGTTAGTGTGAGTGCGTGTAAGTATGAGTGTTAGTGTGAGCGATTGTAAGTGTGAGTGAGTTAGTGTGAGTGAGTTAGTGTGAGTGAGTGTGAGTGTTGGTGTATCAGTGTGAGTGTTAGCGTGAGTGAGTATGAGTGTCAGTGTGAGTGTCAGTGTGAGTGTCAGTGTGAGTGTTAGTGTGATTGAGTGTTAGTGTGAGTGAGTGTTAGTGTGATTGAATGTTAGTGAGTGTTAGTGTGAGTGTCAGTGTGAGTGTCAGTGTGAGTGTTAGTGTGAGTGTTAGTATGAGTGAGTGTAAGTGTCAGTGTGAGTGTCAGTGTCAGTGTGATTGAGTGTTAGTGAGTGTTAGTGTGAGTGTCAGTGTGAGTGTCAGTGTGAGTGTTAGTGTTAGTATGAGTGAGTGTAAGTGTCAGTGTGAGTGTCAGTGTGAGTGTGATTGAGTGTTAGTGTGAGTGAGTGTGTGTGAGTGTGAGTGAGTGTGAGTGTCAGTGTGAGTGAGTGTCAGTGTTAGTGTTAGTATGAGTGAGTGTCAGTGTGAGTGTCAGTGTGAGTGTTAGTGTGAGTGAGTGTGAGTGTCAGTGTGAGTGAGTGTTAGTGAGAGTGAGTGTTAGTGTGAGTGTCAGTGTGAGTGTTAGTGTGATTGAGTGTTAGTGTGAGTGTTAGTGTGAGTGTCAGTGTGAGTGTTAGTGTCAGTGTGAGTGTCAGTGTGAGTGTCAGTGTGAGTGTCAGTGTGAGTGAGTGTTAGTGTGAGTGTCAGTGTGAGTGTTAGTGTCAGTGTGAGTGTTAGTGTCATTGAGTGTTAGTGTGAGTGTTAGTGTGAGTGAGTGTGAGTGTCAGTGTGAGTGTTAGTGTTAGTATGAGTGAGTGTAAGTGTCAGTGTGAGTGTCAGTGTGAGTGTGATTGAGTGTTAGTGTGAGTGAGTGTGTGTGAGTGTGAGTGAGTGTGAGTGTCAGTGTGAGTGAGTGTTAGTGTGAGTGAGTGTTAGTGTGAGTGAGTGTCAGTGTGAGTGTTAGTGTGATTGAGTGTTAGTGTCAGTGTGAGTGTTAGTGTCAGTGTGAGTGTTAGCATCATTGAGTGTTAGTGTGAGTGAGTGTTAGCGTGAGTGAGTGTGAGTGAGTGTCAGTGTTAGTGTGAGTGTCAGTGTGAGTGTTAGTGTCATTGAGTGTTAGTGTGAGTGAGTGTTAGTGTGAGTGAGTGTCAGTGTGAGTGTTAGTGTGATTGAGTGTTAGTGTGAGTGAGTGTCAGTGTGAGTGTTAGTGTGAGTGTGTGTGAGTGTTAGTATCATTGAGTGCTAGTGTGAGTGAGTGTTAGTGTGAGTGAGTGTGTGTTAGTGTGAGTTAGTGTGTGTGAGTGAGTGTTAGTGTGAGTGTTAGTGTGAGTGTGTGTTAGTGTGAGTGTGAGTGTGAGTTAGTGTTAGTGTGAGTGAGTGTGTGTTAGTGTGAGTGTGTGTGAGTGTGAATGAGTGTTAGTGTGAGTGAGTGTTAGTGTGAGTGAGTGTTAGTGTGAGTGAGTGTGAGTGAGTGAGTGTTAGTGTGAGTGAGTGTGTGTTAGTGTGAGTGAGTGTTAGTGTGAGTGTGAGTGAGTGTTAGTGTGAGTGAGTGTTAGTGTGAGTGAGTGTTAGTGTTAGTGTGAGTGAGTGTTAGTGTGAGTGAGTGTGTGTTAGTGAGTGTTAGTGTGAGTGTTAGTGTGAGTGAGTGTTAGTGTGAGTGAGTGTTAGTGTGAGTGTGTGTTAGTTAGTGTGAGTGAGTGTTAGTGTGAGTGTGTGTTAGTGTGAGTGAGTGTTAGTGTGAGTGAGTGTGTGTTAGTGAGTGTTAGTGTGAGTGTTAGTGAGTGTTAGTGAGTGTTAGTGTGAGTGAGTGTTAGCCGTGCTGCCCACCCAGCCCCTCGTGTGCCCGTGTGGGCCTTCAACCCAAGTGCTGCTCGCTACGAACAGCACTTGCCCCCCGCCAGAGATAAATCCGCTCAGGCTCCACGGAGGGGAGAGCTGGTTCAGGTATTCTTCTCGCCCCCCCATCGCCAGAGTTCAGAGGAGCTCCATGGAACGTCCGAACGAGGTGGTGATACCGGGGGGCTCTCGTCAAACCACGGGGGAGGGGGGGGGGTCACTCCTTCGCAACGCAGCGAAGTGGCCGGGCCACTCAAAGCGAGCGCCGTGAAGAGCTGGCGGCCACCGTGAGATTATTATTATTTTTTTACACACAAGAGTCGCGCGACTGCAAAATGCCAGCATTTTGACACCTATCAAAATATAAATCACACGCGCGCGCACAGACACACACACACATATATATAAACGAATTCTCCCAAACACAACTATTATTGTAAATATCTCTTGAAAGGAGTTCCATCCAAAATCGGGGTAGAAGGAGACGTGGGGATTGAAGACCCCCGCCCCCCCCCCCCCCAAACGAAGGGTGTGGGAGGCGGGACGCGTTGGAAAATGCCAGAGGGGAGGGAGGGGGGGAGAGAGGGAGGGGAGTGGAGGGAGGGGAGTGGAGGGAGGGGGGGAGGGAGAGAGGGGAGGGGAGGGAGAGAGGGGAGAGGGAGGGGAGGGGAGGGAGGGAGGGAGGGGTGGGAGGAAGGGAGGGAGGGGTGGGAGGAAGGGAGGGAGGGAGGGGAGGGAGGAAGGGAGGGAGGGAGAGAGAGGAGGGAGAGAGGGGAGAGGGAGGGAGGGAGGGGTGGGAGGAAGGGAGGGAGGGAGGGGAGGGAGGGAGGGAGGGAGGGGAGGGAGGGGAGGGAGGAAGGGAGGGAGGGAGAGAGAGGAGGGAGAGAGGGAGCTGTAAGGGGGCACACGAGGGCACTCCATGCACGCGGGAAGAGTAATTGACCGACCGTCCGGCTGAGTGTCCCAGTGTAGCCCTCGTGCACTCGACTCGCAATCGGAAGGTCACGGGTTCAAGCCCCCCCCCCCCCGCCTCCCGGTCAAGGTCAGCTCAGCCTAAAGTCATCACCACCACTTAGACCACTCGTCTGAGTTCGTTAAAATGAGCACCACTTTGCATTGAAAATACACGATTAGGAATAGACTGCCCCCTCCGCTCCCTGCCACTGGAATGTGGAATTTCCAGCAGGGCCGCCAACTGGAGATGAGCTCGCGAATGCTTGATGGAACCGTGACGTTCAATCTGAAGGTAGTGAATGCGAGCGCTGTTAGCGAGCACCTATTAAGGCCGGCGTTGTGGTAGTTGTGCGATGGTGGGAGGGGGGGGTAGAAGACCGCATGCCCGGCCGCCTTTGTCTTCCCCTGCCCCCAGCGCTGGCGCACATCCCAATGACCCACAACAGCACCACCATCCTCCCACGTGACACGATATTACAATCGACCCATGGAAGGCCCAAGTCCAGCTTTAAACGCCAAATGCCACAAGCAAGCCACGACTGACAGGACCATCGTACAGTGTGTGCAGTGTGTAGGGAGGCAGGATAGTGCCCTCGGAGCATTTTGTAACAGTGCATTCCCCCAGGGCAACTTCTAGCAGTGTCAGCCTCCACACCCCAAGGGAAGCTTGCAGGAGTATGAATATCAGGATACCTGCAGCAGCAAAAATCTTTCGGACCATCTTGCAGCAGGCATGCCCCATGAGCATCTGTCAACAGTATCTACCCTCAGGGCAAGTACGTGCAGCAGTATATTCTTCCAGTAGCCCCCCGCAGCAACAGTCAAATGCCCCGGCCCTGCCCCCATGAATAACTCCAACAGTATTTGCCCTCGGGGCACCTGTAGCAGTGTCTGCCCCAGGGGAACGCACACGCAGCAGGGCATTCTCCCAGCGGCCCCGTGCAGCAGTAGGAACGCCCCTTCGGCAGCAAATGCCCCAAGGGTGCTGAAAGTGCAGCGTTATCCGCACTTTCTGTGCATCAGTATATTCTTCCAGTAGTGCTTGCAGCAGTAACGACCTTCGAGGCACCCGCAACGGGAAATTTCCTCAAGTGTCCTTCTGCAGGGGTGCCAAACAAAAACAACAATCTCGTTCGCATCCCTCCCCCCCCCCCAGGTGCAAAAAGTGCGGCGGTAGGGCGGTAGGGCGGGTCACGGCGCTTGCAGCAGGTCCTGCAACAGGAGCTCAATGGCCAGGTCGCCCTGGCTGGAGCCGAAGAAGAGCTGCGTGATGGAAGCCGGCGGTACGGAGCGCAGCAGGCACAGCGCCAGCAGCAGGCGGCCCAGGCGCGGGGGCCCGGGCGAGCCGGAGACGCGGGCCCACTCGCAGAGCGCCTGCTGCGCCTCCAGCTGCAGGGCTTGCACGCAGGCGCGAGCGCAGAGGCTCTCCACGTCTAGAGGAGTGGGGGGGGGGGGGGCCACGGGGGGCAACAGGAGGCGTTATCGCGGGAGGAAGGCACCACGGCTGACAACAATACCATCGGCATCACCAAGACCACCATCAGCAATACCATCACCAATACCACCACCAATACCACCATAACCAATACCACCATAAACAACACCACCATCACCACCACCATCAGCATCACCACCATCAGCATCACCAACATCACCACCACCACCAATACCACCAATACCACCATAACCAATAACACCATAAACAACACCATCACCACCACCATCAGCATCACCACCATCAGCATCACCAACACCACCACCACCAATACCACCATAACCAATACCACCAACACCACCATCAGCATCACCACCATCAGCATCACCACCACCATCAAGACAAAGATCCCCCGTATAGCCTGAACAGACCGCTGGGGCAAGTGCTTTTAGCGAGAATCTATGAAGGCCGGCACAGCGTGGGAGTGGGTAGGGTGGCCAACACCACGGCTGGCCGCCTTTGTCTTCCAAGTGGCAATGTTTACACATCGACCCAGGTACCCATTTGAGGCTGAGTCGACCTAGGGGAGGTTCAGGACCGGTTCAGATAATTTTCACTGGTGTTGGCCATGAGGGGGAATCGAACTCGGGTCGCAGGGTTTGTAGAGCAGTGCGCTAACCACTACACCACCGCTCCCCGCCACCATCATGTACACTAACACCACCACCAACACCAGCACCAACACCAGCACCAACACCACCACCAACACCAGCACCAACACCAACACCACCACCAACACCAGCACCAACACCAGCACCAACACCAGCACCAACACCACCACCAACACCAGCACCAACACCAGCACCACCACCAACACCACCACCAACACCCACCACCAACACCAGCACCACCATCAACACCAGCACCACCACTAACACCACCACCACCGCCAACACCAACACCAGCACCAACACCCACCACCAACACCACCAACACCACCACCAGCACCAACACCAACACCACCAACACCAGCACCAACACCAGCACCAACACCCACCACCAACACCCACCACCAACACCACCAACACCAGCACCAACACCAGCACCAACACCACCACCAACACCCACCACCAACACCACCAACACCAGCACCAACACCAGCACCAACACCAACACCACCAACACCACCAACACCAGCACAAACACCCACCACCAACACCACCAACACCACCACCAACACCCACCACCAACACCACCACCAACACCACCACCAACACCCACCACCAACACCAACACCACCAACACCAGCACCAACACCACCACCAACACCAGCACCAACACCACCACCAACACCACCACCAACACCAGCACCAACACCACCACCAACACCAGCACCAACACCACCACCAACACCACCACCAACACCACAACCAACACCACCGCCAACACCACCACCAACACCACCGCCAACACCACCACAAACACCACCACCAACACCACCACCAACACCACCTAGCGCCACGCTCTCATGCTCAGGGGGAGAGTGGGTTTAGAGTGTCTGGCTGCGGTAAATCGCCCAGGCGGCTGATAAGCCACTTCGTTCAGCTTCATTGTCATTCATTGTGACGGCCCAGGTGCACTCCTGAAAGAGAGCAACGCATATCAGCCCAGTGGGCCCTACCTCGTGTTAAATTAATAAAGCGATAAAACAGTTACGAGTTAAATCCAAGCGTTCTCTTGAGCGCTCTGTGTTTCAGATCTGACGACAGTGGGGTGGAAATTCCACGTTGCTCTAGCAACGTGGAGCGAGTCTATCCATAACACAACCACTGTTACTTTCTCCACATTTTGGTACTCGTTTTACTGACCCTGCCGGGATGTTGGTGATGATGGGCTGAGTTAGCCCTGAGTCAACCCGTAACCAGCAGCGCTCCAAATTTGGGGTCTAGCGGCCGCCTAATCATGACGAGTCGTACCCCCCTCCCTCCCCAGACACCCAGCCATGAAGATAACACACGAGCGAGGTGATAAACTCCACACTACGCAGAGAGACAAACACACAGGCATCCACGCCGCGAGTCAACGGTGCTGATATCACTCACAAACCACGTCAGCCCTGGCCCGGGAATCGAACTGTCGGCCAGTGAGGCCTCCCAACACCCAATGATTGTATTGCAGCAGCACGGTCTTTGCTGAGCACAGAGGTTACACGACCCTAACCTCTAAGCGGCCAGCAACAAACAGCACGAATTGCGGCTGTTAGATACGGTCGTAGGTGAGAGCGAATGGCAAACGCAAAGTTGCAAGAGCTTGAGAGACGATGGGGAGGAGATTCAAAAAGTGAAATGCTGGCAGGACATTCCAAAGTGAGATGCTGTGATGAATGAATCACAGAGGGCTGCGATGAGTGAATGAATAACAGAGGGTTGTGATGAATGAATCACAGAGGGCTGTGATGAATGAATCACAGAGGGCTGTGATGAATGAATCACAGAGGGCTGCGATGAGTGAATCAATCACAGAGGGTTGTGATGAATGAATCACAGAGGGCTGTGATGAATGAATCACATAGGGCTGTGATGAATGAATCACAGAGGGCTGTGATGAATGAATCATAGAGGGCTGCGGTGAGTGAATGAATCACAGAGGGTTGTGATGAATGAATCACAGAGGGCTGTGATGAATGAATCACAGAGGGCTGTGATGAATGAATCAGAGGGCTGCGATGAGTGAATCAATCACAGAGGGTTGTGATGAACGGATCACAGAGGGCTGTGATGAATGTATCACAGAGGGCTGTGATGAATGAATCACAGAGGGCTGTGATGAATGAATCACAGAGGGCTGTGATGAATCACAGAGGGTTGTGATGAATAAATCACAGAGGGCTGCAATGAATGAATCACAGAGGGCTGCGATGAATGAATCACAGAGGGTTGTGATGAATGAATCACAGAGGGCTGTGATGAATGAATCACAGAGGGATGTGATGAATGAATCACAGAGGGCTGTGATGAATGAATCACAGAGGGCTGTGATGAATGAATCACAGAGGGTTGTGATGAATGAATCACAGAGGGTTGTGATGAATGAATCACAGAGGGTTGTGATGAATGAATCAGAGGGCTGTGATGAATGAATCACAGAGGGCTGTGATGAATGAATCACAAAGGGCTGTGATGAATGAATCACAGAGGGTTGTGATGAATGAATCACAGAGGGTTGTGATGATTGAATCAGAGGGCTGTGATGAATGAATCACAGAGGGTTGTGTTGAATGAATCACAGAGGGCTGTGATGAATGAATCACAGAGGGCTGTGATGAATGAATCACAGAGGGCTGCGATGAGTGAATCACAGAGGGCTGATTAATCACAGAGGGCTGTGATGAATGAACCACAGAGGGTTGTGATGAATGAATCACAGAGGGCTGTGATGAATGAATCACAGAGGGCTGTGATGAATGAATCACAGAGGGTTGTGATGAATGAATCACAGAGGGCTGTGATGAATGAATCACAGAGGGCTGCGATGAATGAATCACAGAGAGCTGCGATGAATGAATCCCAGAGGGCTGTGATGAATGAATCACAGAGGGCTGTGATGAATCAATCACAGAAGGTTGTGATGAATGAATCACAGAGGGCTGTGATGAATGAATCACAGAGGGCTGCGATGAGTGAATGAATCACAGAGGGTTGTGATGAATGAATCAAAGAGGGCTGCGATGAGTGAATGAATCACAGAGGGCTGTAATGAATGAATCACAGATTCTGGAGAGTGGTGACGCGGTGGTGAGCGTGCCGCGCTCCGAACCTGCCGACGCGAGTTCCCGATTCCCGCCATCAATACCAGTGAGGAGTTCCATTCGTACCGGTCCCGGGCATCCCCTAGGTCGACTCCGCCTCAAATGAGTACCTGGTGCGGTGTGTAAAAACATCGCCACCGGGGAGACAAAGGCGTTCGGGCGTAGTGCTGGACACCCACCCCCTCGTGTGCTGTGCTGGCCTTCATAGATGCTACTTGCTAACAGCACTTTGCCCAACAGTCTGTGAAGGCTACAAGGGGGATCTCTGTCTTTCTTTGTATAGACGTGTGTGTAAATGCATAGATGGCGAAGCGTTTGTATAGGGTTGCGTGTGTGTCCTTTGTTGGATGTCGTTGCCGACGCGTGTTGTAATAGTTCCTTTCTAACAGCACTTGCCCCAACAGTCTGTTCGAGTTTACGCGGGAGATCTTTTGTCGTGGTCTCGTGTGCCTGTGTCCGTGTGCGCTCGCTGATGGCACGTGCCCCCCGGGACCTTTCATCTGTGCCTATGCGTTTGGCATCACCGAACAACGCGGCATTGGGGAGGTCTTCATCCAGCAGTGGAACAATGATTGTGATGACGGTGGCGGTGTTTCACCGTCGGCGTGTCTATGGACAATGCGTCGCGTGGTCTCGTGGGATGACTCCCGCTGCCCACCCTGGAGGTGTTTGGGGGGGTACAATATTACAGATCCTATTGTCGATACAAGACAAAAACAACCCCCAAAACGAACAGTTTTTGTTGACATCGTAAAATGAGTTATACGTATTTTAGAATGCAATTCTTTACTGCAATGTACAGGTTGCTTTGCAAACGTTATATTTATTTAACCATAGAGTGAAATGATTATTCCGTGTCTGGGAATCGAACTCGGGCCACCGCGTTTGTAGCGTAGTGCGCCAACCGCTGCACCACCGCTCCCCCCATCATATATACATTTAAAAACTCACATTCCTCAATAACACCGTAGCTTCAAAAGGAAAATATACAGTCGACGATGTTTCGGACAGTGGTCCTTAATCATATAACGTAGACACCGTCACCTAATGGGAAACGGCGGTTGTTCTTGTTGTTGTTGTGGGAGGGTGGAGCGGTGGCGCAGTGGTTAGCGCAGTGCGCGATGAACCCACTGAGTAGAGTGCCATCTACAATAGATGAGGTTTTTTGGGGGTTAGATCGCGTAAATATA